TTAAGTTTTCATTATTTAAAGTTTAAATGATACATTTATCATAAAACGGTAACAATATTTTGGAATTTAGACACAATACTTTTATGATTGATAATTAGTAGGCACATGATTTAAAAGGAAACGTGTAAGCTTAAACTGGTAACCACACGTTACAGCCTTTATCTCAAAATGCCTGACTTATCCCCCTTGTCTGGCCTATGAACATTGACACTGGTACGCCATTGTAGCGAGGGGACAATTTGAAGGTACTAAAACGCAATTGCCACATCTATATCCCAACTCAATACATCTGTCATTGCAATTCTTCCAGAGAATGCCAGTTAAGAAATTACTCCACCTGCGAGACAGAAAAAGAATTGACTAAACATGTGAAATTAAGTATTTAGGAAACAATCATAGGCAGCACTTTTTGCAGCATTATGATGCAGCATTGCACACTAGACGTGAACGATGACCCATGTAAAAACTAGCTCAGTTGCCTTTTCTGTCTCTATACTTCCCATATATCCGAGAAGAACAACAGACTTACTTCAGTTAAGAAAGGCACTTAGTACTGAGTGACATGACTTGACTAACTTATTTACCAAATCAGCCCTAAATGTTGTTCATGATCTAGGTTGTATCGTCTCCATTAAGATTGTGCCCCTTTAGCCTCCGGGGTTACTAATCTTTATAGTCATGCACAGACATACAGTTGAATCAATAATATTATTTATTTCAACGCCCATCAAGACTCCAAGTCACATTGCCATATTTATTGTAAAAAAAAAACGTTGAGTTCCCATTTTCAGACCTGAAGATTCAAAGGGCAGTTGAAGTAGAGTGCATGTTTCTTGACCTCGGCATTTAAAGGAATGGTGTGGTCAGCACTATGTCCAGCAGCTTTTACTTTCTCAACTTGTCGTCATTTCCAAACAAAGCTGGGTGGATCAGGCAAGTCCTACACTCCAGAGTCCAGACTGAGATCCAAACTCTAGATCATCGGGCTTGTAGCCGAACGTTCTACCATTCAACCACACCGTCCCATACGCAGTTGAAGTGTTATAACAGTCTGGCCAGATGGGATCAGAATGATACACCTCGTCTGCAACGTCTAGTTAAACGTGTGACCCCGTCAATCATTTGGCAACACTAACGACGAAGCTTTCGCTGTGCATAATGCCTAAGTGGACCTCACCTTATGTCATTTGAATCAAATCCGAAAAAAACGTTTAATAAAATTTTATGGACTTTTCAAACCTGAATTCCAAAACAAATTTTGATATTTTAATTTACATAACTATCCAAAAGTTAAACGCAAGAACTTTTCACAGCTTACTCAGAGCAACGACTCCAGGTTTCATAACAGTCACCAATGCCATTGGCATCTGAGTGTTGTGGTAGAGTGGCCATCAGCACCAGCAGGGCAACAAATGTTAACTTTAGTGTAGCAGCCATCGTCCTGAAAATATGTCATGTTCAAATTGTTACATTAAAAATCTCAGCTAAAAATTAAGATAGCCGAACAAATTAGAAATTACACACCATTTAGGGGCCCACAGCCGACCATAATAACTTATTTATAGTAAAAAAAAATAATTTTCTTGCATTTTTGACTTTATGGTTGTTTTGTGAAAAAATTTAAAGTACTTACTAAAGAATGACATTGAATAAAAAGGAAATATATTTAAAATTAATAATATAAATACAAAAAAACACGAAAATAAACATAACACGAGACCCCATTACTTATACAAAGCTTTCGTGTTTTATATTCTTTTGACCGACTGGAGGTTAAGAGGTCATATAGCAGAGACAAAATAAAACTGATTTTCACAAAACAGACTAATGCACTTACACATGACATGGTGTTGTAATTTGTTTTAATAAAATTTTTTTTTCTAAACCCGAAAAGGCCAGCAATGAATAACCTATGTTCGTATTTTGTGATTATATATATATATATATATATATATATATATATATATATATATATATATATATATATATATATATATATATATATAAATATTTATATATATATATATATATATATTTATATATATATATATATATAAATAAATATATATATATATATATATATATATATATATATATATATATATATATATATATATATATATATATATATATATATATATATATATTTATATATATATATATATATATTTATATTTATATTTATATATATATATATATATATATAACCAATATAAATTCTTTGAACAGTATTCTCGCACTGTATTTTCGTACAGATTTTCCATTGATTATAATGCTAGGAAAATGATATAATATTAGTTAATTTACCTTTCTTCCATTGCCACTAACCCGCACTATTACCGAAAATTAAGTCCAACGACAGACCTTTGGTGCTTCTATGTATCTATAGCAGCACAATTAAAAAATGGTTTAGCTATAAAAAGACATTTCTTTAGTTTTACTCACCACAGCAAATCACGATCTATTACGAACAAGATATTTCGCCTGTAATTATACCTATAACCTGGTAATTATTGATTTATTTTATGGCAATATGACACAAAGCTGAAAGTTTGAAAGTCAATTTTGTTGGCTTTTATTATCTCTAAAATGATAACTTGATGTGGGTCAATTATTCTAAAAGTTAGCCGCTAATATTGACTAGCGCTTGTTTGGATGTTGTTTATTTTTTTGGGGTGTTGTGATCAGATAATATTAGTGGGGTAATGGGGGGGGGTATCTATTAAACTTAAGTAACAAAAGGTAATCGGGTTACAAACTCACGAAGTTTCAGGGAGTGTTGTGGTTGAGATTTTTAAAACGTATCGGCTTATATAAGGTAATTTTTTTAGCCCTTGATTAGGTCGTAGAGGTTGAATGCAGGGGCGGAACTACAGTGCCACCAGACCCCGGGGTGTGGGGGGGGGGGGGGGGGTAGGCCGTTTAGGCGGCCCACAGCCGACCATAATTTAAAAAAAATTAAAAATGTTTGAATCTAATGTTCGTGCATTTTTGCCTTGGTATTTGGTTTGTAGCTGCGACATGATTATCTTTATTTTACAGTCACTATACCACGCTCTTCCGCAGACATTAAAATCCATTACACAAACTGTAGTGTAAAACTGTAGGCAAATCTTCTGTGACTCGTTGATCCCCTTAGAGAGCCAACGTAACTGTTCGACCGATCCTCCAAAGTGTACTGTGGCGGATGGGGCAGGGGGTGGGGAACAAATAGGGGGGCTCGACCATTGTCGTCAATATTTTAAAAAAATTATTTATAATTGTATTGTTTTAACCATCGTTAATATGTGTTTGTGATATTGGTAGAACTTCTATCCTGTACCATCCTGTGTCCTACAAATAATAAAAAAAAATAATACAACACTGGAAACTGCAGATTTGTTTACATTTACTTGTTTTTGCTTTTACAAGAAATTTTATAGTAAGCTCTTATGGCTTATACTTTGAAATATTTCCCCTGAGTGAGTTTCATAATAGGTTTTTAAGTTTTTTCCCCGAGCCGACCCCCATCCCACCCCTCTTTCTTAGCCTCGCAAGTATCGAGTAAATAGATATATCGTTTATGAATTACTTCATTCACCACTTCAGCACATTTTGTCAGCACTAGTCAGCAGATTTTAATTTACTTGAACAGTATTAGGTGCATCTAATTCACAAAACAGGGAAGGTAAGATTATTTTTTATATAATTATTTAGAAATTAATTAGAACGTTTTTACTTAATTGAACATTATTAATAGTCAATTATTATGCATAAATGACGTCATTGGGATAGGGGGGAGGTGTGAGGGTCTGGCTTTTTGTAAGTCGTTAAAAACGTGACGTCAGTTTTGTGGATGCTCTCCCCCCCCCCCCCCACCCTAAATCAGAAGTTTATCCGACGCGTGAGCTGGCCACACCACATACAGCGGTGCATGTGAAAAACATGTTTGTGTTCTCTGAGCAGTTTGGCCCCAAAAGTTGTTTAAAAGTTCACACAACACTAGATTCTAGAAATAAGTCTCGCTGCTACATTCAATGACTGTAGCTTATCAAGGGTTGCACCCATCACCCGTACAGTAATGTAATAGAAGGCTCCCAGTCCCAAGAGCTCCATGACTCCCTTGACACCTGGGCCATCGCCTAGGAACTTACAGCACGCCTTGGTGTGTCTCGTTGGTAGTATGGACAAAGCCACACCCCAACAACAAAGATGCAAGAAATGAACTGCCGACATTGTACACATTTAATTAAACTTCTGGAAACCAGGGCACACGTCTAAAAATACACGATTTGTAATGTTTTGATGAAAACCTCAAAAACATCAGCGTCAGTTTGTTGAGTGGGACTAGATTTAGAAAGTCCGTGCTTCTCACTTAGAAAACTGAATGGGGCCAGGTCGCGTGTTGGAAAACCTTTGATTTATTCGTGTACCAGATGGAAATAAAACATGTGACATTAAGAGCTCGAGTAAATAAAATAAAAATTAAAGAGACTCTTGTTGTCCATATATATATATATATATATATATATATATATATATATATATATATATATATATATATATATATATATATATATATATATATATATATATATATATATATATGGACAACAAGGGTCTCTTTTATATATATATATATATATATATATATATATATATATATATATATATATATATATATATATATATATATATATGGGCCAAAAATATTCTGCGATGGGGGGGGGGGGGGGGCTTTTTTTCTAGTTCCGCCGCTGGTTGCCTGACAATTTTCCTTCATGACTGATTGAAATACCGAGGTCCATGAAAAAAAAGCCAGATCCTCAGAGTGTAAGTACCCTAAAAATCTTTTTTTAACGCATGAAAGATACTGATTTGTTGTACAAGAGAAAGTGTTATGGTTAAAGATAGTGATAGGTTTGAGGACAGGGCTAAGGTTAGGGATAGTGATTAATTTAAGTGATAAGGATTGGGATAGGATTACGGTTAAGAATAGGGGTTGGAGACAGAGACAGGAATAGGGCTGTGTTACGAATAGTGATGGGGAGTTAGACATAGGGAAAGGGCTATGTTGACGTGGTTATGGCTAAGCATAATGATAGGGATAAATTTAATTACAACGTAATTGATATGAATAATGTAAGATTAGTAACATTTCTAGATGGAATAAGATTATTTTGCACTGACGTGTTTCTTAATTGTGTATGTAATTTCCTAGGCAAAGTACGAATTACGTCTTATTTTCTACTCAAGAGTAGAGTTATAGCATATGACTACACACCCACCGATAGACGTACAGACACCCGAAAAAAAGCTGTAATAAATATAATGATACCTAAACCTTAAAACAAAATTATCCTTGAGTTATTAATGTATTTTTCTAACGTGTAGGTTTATTATTTACAACACAGTGTTTAACTTAAGTTGTTCATCTTTTATTTATTTTGAAATAGTTAAATTTAGCTCGATTAAAGATATCGGTGACCGGTTCGAATAGATCAACCAAGGAATCTAGGTTGACCACAACAACTGACGTTGATAGATTAATCTTAAGGTTATATTGATCTTTGTGGCCCCACCTCCCTAGCAGTCACTCATAACTCAGAAATATTTTGACATTGACTGAACAATGATCAAACAAGAACAATATAAAATGCATTTATCGATGCTCAATCAACGCCAATATGACATTGATTTATCAATCATCAAAAACAAACATGATGCACTTGATATAAACAGTAATAAATAAGAACATGAAATTCATAAAACTATAGACAAAAAAAGGAAAATTATGAAATCAATTAACGAATTTCAATCAAGAAAATTATTAGATTGATTTATCGATAATGAATGAAGAACTTTATAAAAATAGATTTAGAACATTATCTAAACAGAACCAAGAAGGTGATAATGTATTTTTATGGCATTAGGTTAGGTTTGGTTTGCCTGTTGTCCCTACTGGGACATAGGCCGCCGACAAGAGCTTTCCAGACGTGTCTGTCTTGGGCTAGTCTCTCCAACTGTCCCCAGGTGTCATGGGCTAGTCTCTCCAACTGTCCCCAGGTGTCCTGGGCTAGTCTCTCCAACTGTCCCCAGGTGTCCTAGGCTAGTCTCTCCAACTGTCCCCAGATGTCCTGGGCTAGTCTCTCCAACTGTCCCCAGGTGTCCTGGGCTAGTCTCTCCAACTGTCCCCAGATGTCCTGGGCTAGTCTCTCCAACTGTCCCCAGGTGTTCTAGGCTAGTCTCTCCAACTGTCCCCAGGTGTCCTAGGCTAGTCTCTCCAACTGTCCCCAGGTGTCCTAGGCTAGTCTCTCCAACTGTCCCCAGGTGTCCTGGGCTAGTCTCTCCAACTGTCCCCAGGTGTCCTAGGCTAGTCTCTCCAACTGTCCCCAGGTGTCCTAGGCTAGTCTCTCCAACTGTCCCCAGATGTCCTAGGCTAGTCTCTCCAACTGTCCCCAGATGTCCTGGGCTAGTCTCTCCAACTGTCCCCAGGTGTTCTAGGCTAGTCTCTCCAACTGTCCCCAGGTGTCCTAGGCTAGTCTCTCCAACTGTCCCCAGGTGTCCTAGGCTAGTCTCTCCAACTGTCCCCAGGTGTCCTGGGCTAGTCTCTCCAACTGTCCCCAGGTGTCCTAGGCTAGTCTCTCCAACTGTCCCCAGGTGTCCTAGGCTAGTCTCTCCAACTGTCCCCAGGTGTTCTAGGCTAGTCTCTCCAACTGTCCCCAGGTGTCCTAGGCTAGTCTCTCCAACTGTCCCCAGGTGTCCTAGGCTAGTCTCTCCAACTGTCCCCAGGTGTCCTAGGCTAGTCTCTCCAACTGTCCCCAGATGTCCTGGGCTAGTCTCTCCAACTGTCCCCAGGTGTCCTGGGCTAGTCTCTCCAACTGTCCCCAGGTGTCCTAGGCTAGTCTCTCCAACTGTCCCCAGGTGTCCTGGGCTAGTCTCTCCAACTGTCCCCAGGTGTCCTAGGCTAGTCTCTCCAACTGTCCCCAGGTGTCCTAGGCTAGTCTATCCAACTGTCCCCAGGTGTCCTGGGCTAATCTCTCCAACTGTCCCCAGATGTCCTGGGCTAATCTCTCCAACTGTCCCCAGGTGTCATGGGCTAATCTCTCCAACTGTCCCCAGGTGTCCTGGGCTAATCTCTCCAACTGTCCCCAGATGTCCTGGGCTAGTCTCTCCAACTGTCCCCAGGTGTCCTGGGCTAATCTCTTCAACTGTCCCCAGATGTCCTGGGCTAGTCTCTCCAACTGTCCCCAGGTGTGTTTAATCTTCTTTGTGTACATATTGGCTCTCACCACCCGGCTTCATCTTGAGTAGAAAATAAGACGTAATTCGTACTTTGCCTAGGAAATTACATACACAATTAAGAAACACGTCAGTGCAAAATAATCTTATTCCATCTAGAAATGTTACTAATCTTACATTATTCATATCAATT